AGCCCATGGACTTCTGCTGAGCTATCTATTTATAAAGTACCAGAACGACTACGATTTTTAGGCATGACCAAATGTAACCATGGCACTGGCAGCTTTAGGAAGCACCTCCTTTCAGTGGTTTCTACTACTTTGGAGCATTGTTTTTGTATTATTCCTAACACATTTCTTGATTACATACATTTGAGGCACTTCACACGTTCCCCAAATACTTTGTCCTGTTAAATATTTGCAAAAGGACGAAACATCATTGCAGCCGGTGCTGAAGTCACGAGTGGCAAACAGGCTGACAAACAAGCTGTAGCACAAGAACCATTGGCCACCTTTCTTCACATTTCTATTTTAAATTTTTTGAACTCTACATTCAAAACAGCATTTTGGAGTGAACTATGCCAATAAACATCCTGGGTGTCATTAAACACATCTACAGAATTTAGAAACACTCAATGGTGAGACCTCAACATCCAACAGGAATAAAAACAACTTTAAAATTTCTGGCGAAGTTGATGCAAACTCCCACTGGAACCATTTGGAATTTCTGTTTATAAAACCATAACTTAGTGGCTGCTTGCAATAGAAAGTATATATGATCATTTGCCTTCAAAAGAATGACTTCTTGTGACCATTTCTGTAGGTTTTGGATGTATGAGTTCCAGGACCACCTTGCCAGGCTGCCAAAATCCTCTCCTCCCGTGCTACACCCATGCAAAGCGTCCTGCTCCCTTCACTGGCACTGGCACTGGTGCTCGCACCAGCGGGCAGCAAAGCACTGCGGGGAGTCAAACCAGCCAGCAATGGGCAAGAGACAAAATAGAAATAGTTTCCTGCAGGTTTAGCTCCCTGAACTGGGCCACCAGAGACTGTCAAATTCCAGCTCTGGTGCAGGAAAGAGAGAGACTTCACTGAGACTCCATCTCCCTGCCTGGATCTAGAGCACCCACTGTCCACGCACGGTACAGGACACAGACGGCACAAACATGGTGCCTTTCAAGGCAACCACCGCTGAGCTCAAGACAAAAAATACCATCTTGATAACAATAAGGCATCATCGGGTGCCAGAAGTCATGGTAGGAAAAATGGCTAAACTAGCACTTTTAGAGCACAAGTTTCAGCTTATTTTTTAACAGCATAGGAATTTTTATCAGATTACAGCTCCATATCATGCTAGCACTACACACCTTTATTAGCTCTCTCCTACTATACTTGACTGTTAAATGTCATTTGATTTACTGAAAGAATGCAATACGCTACGACTGAATGACAAGCAAGCATCCTGTCAGTTCTCCCCCAACTGATTTTCCTGAACAAAAGATCAATATATTTAAAAAATGCTAATTTTAAAGACGCTACCTTCTGTCAGACCTCATGTTGCACTTTTTTTTTTCCCTTCT